TCATTGTATTATAGATGTTCAATCACCCGACGCAATGAACAAGACATGGTAAGGTGTGTTGAAACCTGAAGGGTACAGTTGTCGAGTCCCCGACGAAAGTTTTTTTTTTTTGGCTGAACCACTGTTTGGTCGTTGGGAAACCTTTGTTGTCGAGGCTCGTCATAATTCCTCGCCGAAGCGCAGTAACATCTGGGCGCAATGCCATCTACAGAGCGTACATAGCGCGCACATGGTTAAAAAAAAAAAAGGCCACAACATCGCACACGCGCTGACATTCAAACCACGTTAATTAAAGCGCACGACAGAGCGAAAGGTTATCAGGAACTAAACAAAACGCTTTTCACCAAACAATATAGAAGGCCCCGATTCGTCAGCCGATGTGCCTGCATTACCCCATTATCGGCATTCGCTTCATGGATGTGCAGCAATTTCGCAGCAAGTAAATTTATTTGCAGGACGGCTCAGTGCTCTCCCTAGTTAGTACGAAGTAATCGAAATCGTTAAACATTTTTTATCTAAACAAAGTGGTGTAGCTAGGTATAACTGTATAATATTCTACAATAACTGGACGCCATGACACAAGGTTGACAGTATCGTTAAGCTTGGCTATTATCAAACTGCCCTCTTGTGTTCATCTGTAAAACACCTAAAATTTGTCTTTCGGCCTGCCTAGTTTTGGTAGGCTGATGTCTGTTCGGGACCGGCAGAAATGACATGTAATTGTGTAAAATTTAAAAATTCACAATTATTTTATTTTTGCTTACAATGTAATGTAATTATGCACAGAAACCTTTTTGCGACAATTTTGTTTGTGTTGCATGTTCTGTTCTGTTGAAATGCTCTGTAAAAAAGTAATTGATGTCCACTGTCTGCGAGACGAAAAATCCAAACACATGTGCAAATGGTGTAGCTAGGTATAACGGTCTAATATGCGACACTCTAACTCGATACCAGGACACAATATCGACAATATCGTGAAGCTTGGATAACATCAAACTGAAACTTTTACCGGGGGCGAAAACAGTGTCATCGTCAGCAAACAGGATGAACCCGCAAGATTTGTGGAAACGGATTCCAGCCGCTTCAACGCGCTCCTGTGCCCACGAAGATTAGCGCTCTACGACCATCGCCCTTTTAAGTTAAGCGAGTGTTGAGCCGTAGTGCCACGAATACAATGAACAAGTATATACCATGAACTCGAGGTGGTTAAAGGTGGGAAGTAGACACGAAGCACAAGCCGTAATAAGGTGTGCGTGTGCCACCTCTCGTTTAGTCCTTGGAATGTCCGCTGGATGGCGGCGCCTCTATATTGCGAATATATGATGAAAATATGTGAGATTCTGGTACTTGGAGTGTCGAATAGATGGACGAACGGACACCCAGACAGATGCATGGATGGACGCATGAAGGGACGCAGGGGCGGATGCACGGACGAACGCGGGGACGGACGCACGAACAGACGCACGCACGGACGGGCGGATGGACGGTCACACAGACGGACGCAAGGATGGACGGAAGCAAGAACGAATGGACGGACGAATGCTTCGCCCCACTCTCCATCATTAACTCCGTGGATATGCTGCCAATTTTTTTAATCCTATATGAAAGGGGTTATTTTAAGCATATTAGAAAGTGCAGTTCTCCATATAACCCGCCCTATTAAAGTCTCTATAACCAGCTCTCATTTTCTATTGACAGCTTATATTGTGCTGCTTTCCAAATCTTCTGTTGACGCAATGTCATTGCAAGCTAGCAAACCCTGGTTTATTAAAATGTTTTGTGTTATACTTGGTAGCTGCGCACTGTCATGTGAAGACTGAATGGCTGCTAGAGAACACTGGAAGCGGACGATTCAGAAAAGAGATACAAAAAAAAAATAACGTTGACTCACATTTTGAAGCAGTGCGCCGCACTGACGAGCCACTTGGACGCTATGAGCGTGGCCGTGCAGCGGTATCCGTTCGGCTCGTCCCGGGGCGCGCGCAGTTGGGCGATCCAGGGCCAGCGGTCCATCGACGCCTCCGTGCCGCCCACGATCCGGTCCGTGTCGCTCGGGGCACTGCCGCAACTTGCCCGAAGACAAGGACGACATGGATCGGACACGTCATTTTGCGGACAACGTAGCGACACATAGTGCGAAATCAGGCTCGAGTTCAGGTATATGTAATTAGCGCGGAACGTTACTTCCTTTACGTAACGCTGTGGAAGTTGCGTAACGTTACGTAACGGAAGTTACGTTACGGAAGTTACGTTACGTAATGGAAGTTGGAAGTTACGTAACGCTGCAACGCTGTGGAAGTTGCGCAAGAAGTTGCGGTTGTCAAACGGTGAGTCGTGGAGAGTTCATTGTGTTCTCATTGGTAGAAGAGACATTTATTTATATTTGTTACGCGGGGTTTTACGTCCCAAAACTACGATATGATCGTTAGACGCTGTACTGGAGGGCTTTAGAAATTTCGGCCATCTGGTGTTTTGCACTGACATCGCACAGTACAGGAGCCTCTACCAAGAACGTGTACATTTGGGTGAGCTGGTTACGATTCATCTAAAATGGGGTCCTGCAACAATTTTCTGATTAATCTTGAAATGGTCTCGTAAAAGAAAAGTTCATTGTCTCACAGATCGACTGTCGCAAAAAAATGATGAAATGCATTTGTTTGCACATATGGCCGTCTCTTTGGGGGACATTGCAGAGGGCGTATAGAAGTTGTCTGCGAATCAGGCACGACATAGAACGAATCAGCACGCAAAGCAACGCCCAAGTGCGTGAAGTGACTAGCAAATAACGAAGCAGGTTATACAAATGTGCGTGTAGCAAATCAAGATTGTATTAAACAAACAGGTGTTAAGAGGTAGAAAAAACACGTAAGTATAGAATAAGCACACAGCACATCTCGAACTTATGCGACGATTAATTTCTTCCACAAATTGTGCGGAACGTAACTGCCGTATAGTGCACCGTCAAGACCATTCCTGAGCTCGACTGTGGATGCAGAAAATTAGGATTTAGATATGTGTTAACGTGAACGGTACGGGGCAAGATTAAGGAAGTGAAAGCTTCGAGTAGCACGAGAAGAGCGCTTTTTCGCAAACGAAACTTGTGGCACAATAATGAATGACCCATGTACGAAGAGTGATGAGGCGTTGAGAAATTCGTCAATGCGCCAGTGCGTAAGCCGATAAGTTATGCAATAGTTTTCCGAGTAAATGTGGGTGCGACGAAGGAGAAAAGTGACTGTAGGACCTTATCGCTTGGCTTTGCAGAGATGCCAACTTGGTGACGTCACAAGATAAGTAGGGGAACCACAGTACTGACGCGTACTCCAAGATTTCTCTGATTTCGGTTTTGTATGCGTTTAGTGTTCAATACTTTGTAGCTTCTTTAGCGAATCGTTTGCGATGGATCTTCGAGTGAATGCGGTCTGTGCATTTCTGCCACTTCAGGTCAAAAGTAATTTCAAGATATAAACTCGTTCACGTGTGCAAAGATAGTTCTTTAGTAACGATCATGGAAGCGCAAAGGCTTAACTTTATTGGAAAAGGTCACAGAGGTGGTCTTCCTTCGATTAGTAGATAGTTGTCGGTCATGTACGAGCGCAGTTAAGGATTTTATAGCTTTCTGTTGTTGTATTTCTCTTATCTCGTTCTAACGCGCGCGCTGAAAGTTAATCAACGTGGAATGGCACGAACGGGAAAAAAAGTTGCGTCACACGCACTTCATGGCTTTGAGAACTTTATTATTTCTCTCTCTCTCTCTCTCTTTTTTCTTCAAACGTACGGATTACTTTCGATGAAGTCGCGAGGGAGCGCGCAGGAACGTCGCGCCCTCCTGCGGCGTCCACTGTAACTATGACACTCACGATGCTCAAATCAGTCAATGGCTTGCATCTGGGCTAATTTGTGATCTTGCATGTCGAGTGGTTGCAGCTAAATTTAAACGTACGCTCGAAGAAAACAAACACTATAGAGCAGTGCTGACACTAACAACTGGCGTTTATTGATACCTTCCAATGAATATATAAACCATTTTCACAAATAAGGCTGTTATTTTTCGGCCGCAACGCCGTCTAGCGTCTGCGATGTTGTGCCACCATGTCGGTGTGGGGGGGTCCGCGGTGGTGTATAGCAGCGTATGCGCTCAGTACACAGAGTATTGCTGTTCTTCGCGGCACGTGGTCAACACACAGCAACGCTTCGCGAGTGTAAAGGCGCTATAGTATAAGTAATCGCTAAGCTGTCTGTTTCGAAATGGCAGAAACAGCGGCCTTAACCCACGAGACGTTCCAGCAGCGGTGCAGACGATATGCAGGAGGTGAGTATATTTTCAGTGCACCTTAAGCTGCGTGTGTAAATGGGGAATCGGTTATTATGTTTTGTTATAGCTGATTTTGAGGGGTTCTGGGATTGTGGAGTAGCGTTACACTTTCGGTCAACTCTCAAAGTAATGGGCGAAACGTAAATGGAGACAAGTCAATGCGCATGCCATTATCCAGCTGCACTTTTAAGTGCGCGCATTAGTGTTTAAAATGGATATCGGGTCTCTCTGCTGGGACTGTATAAGGTTAACGTAACTGTACAATCGCAAGCAGATCATCTGGTCCGGGTCAGAACGTCGCAGTACAAGGTTTATGGAACTAAGGAAGCACAAACACCGATGCGTGTGTTGATTCGTGTCGTGGTCGTCCGAAGCTTGTCTGATTGTTGCGCAGGATAACTAACGGATGTACGACGGATGCGCTCGCACTATAATAATAAAAGTTATCGCCATGGAAAATAAAGGCACTGAATTTATCAGCGCCCGATCAGTTGTGCTGTCTCCGACAGATATTGACAACCTTTTAACGAGTTCCCATCCCTTTCTAATCTTCCCAATCAGGTTTAGTCTATAGATGTATATATAGTCTTCGTCCACATGTTTTTTTCGGTTCGTTGCTGTACCTATATCATTCGGCGGAAGGTCTTAATAAACGCCCGTCGATAGTGTCAGCACTGTCCTTATGTCTTTCTTTTCCTTCATGCGTACCATTTTACATGCAGTCATTGGCCACGGACCTTGGGTTAATGGCGCAATCATTTTGGGTTGATTGCATCATTTTTCGCGCTGCCGTGGTGGTCTATTGCTGATGGCACCCGAAGGCTAACCGGAACAAAGGTCACGCGATTGCAATCCGGCTGCGGCAGCTGCATTTTCGATGGGGGTGAAAATGTTGAGGCTCGTGTGCTTAGGTTCAGGTGCACGTTAAAGAGCCCCAGGTGACTAAAACATGACTAAAATTCCCGTAGCCCTCTGTGATAACCATTGAACGATATGACCAAAACTCTCAAGTGCGCATGTGCGCATACATGAATAACTTCCATCCCCACTTTAGTTTCACGAGTGTGAATAAAACCACGAGCTTTTTCTTGGTATGATTTGACTGTCTCGTTTACTGAGGAAGCGGTGTTGCCGTCTCGCAGGTAACAGTGGCGACGAGAAAAGTCACCGTTGCGCGTAAGCTGCCGGGCGTGAGCCACGAGACCGAAACGAAGACACCCATCAGGCCTCCCGCAGCAATGGCCCTCAAGCTTCCAGATTTTCCAGAGGAGACAGATAAGTGGCAAATGTATCTCGTTAAGATTGACGCCTATTTCGAAGCAACTGAGGTGACTGAGGACACGACGAAAAGGTCGCCGTGTTGGTGGCAGCGTTAGGATCGAGGAACGTTGAAATCCTTTGCGGCAGAATCGCACCGCGAGAACCATGCTCGCTGAGCTATCAAGAAGTTGTTCGAACGTTTAACTGGCACTATGATCCGTCCTCTAACGAGATATCAGAAAGTGTCAAGTTCTTTCACAGAAACTAACAAGAAAGGGGGGTCCACAGGTGCAGGCGTTTATTGTCGACATTCGCAAGTTAGCCCACAACTGCAACTTCGGTTCGGTGTTGAAGCGAAAGCTGAGGGATGACGCCATCATTGCGTGGGAGATTTCGTGAGCTTGCAGTGAACTCCGATAAAATTACGAAGGCAAGAAAGTTGCAAGAAAGAAGCAATTATACCGGGTGTTTTTTTTTTTTGTTAGCCGACACAGATCATAACGTGTGTGCTTGCCAGAACACCAAGCTCTCGACAGACAGACAGACAGACAGACAGACAGACAGACAGACAGACAGACAGACAGACAGACAGACAGACGGACGGACGGACGGGCGGACAGACAGACAGACAGGCGGACAGACAGACGGACAGACAGACAGACGGACGGACGGACGGACGGACGGACGGACAGACAGACAGACAGACAGACGGACAGACAGACGGACAGACGGACAGATAGATAGACAGATAGATAGATAGATAGATAGGACAGATAGATAGATAGATAGATAGATAGATAGATAGATAGATAGATAGATAGATAGATAGATAGATAGATAGATAGATAGATAGATAGATAGATAGGCCAACATTTGTGCCTTTAGGCATCCCAAGAAAGGCTGTCATCTTTAAAAGAGAGACAGCAATGACCTACAAAGGCGAAGAGAACGTCCACAAAGAGTGCATACGTACACAGCAGGTTGGAACACTGCGGTGCCGTTGACGGCCGAGACAGGACACTCCTCCTCGTCCGTGCCGTCGCCGCAGTCGTCGTGTCCGTCGCACAGCTGTTCAGTGCTGGCGCAACGGTACCCGTTGCGGCAGCTCACCAGTTCGGCAGCGCACTCCACTGTAAGAACATGCGTATTACGGGAAGTACGGGTAAGTCAAAAGATTTGCCGTGAAGAAGTTAAGGAGGAAAACTAAATACGTCACCAAAGAGGAGTAAGTGGCGCCCCCACAGGCACCAACGGAAGCCGCAAAGAAATATCTCTCGTCAGCACATCTCACTACTGCTGTCAGCGCATCTATCCACTTCTCTTGATCGTTGCAAACTAATCTAATAGTCCCTTATGCGCACGTGCATCGACCACAACCGCCAAGTTCGAACAGTTCAAGACAGCCGTAAAGACGATTGGCCCCGACATAATTATGTTACGATGATCTCTAAATGATCACTTTATTATACTTAATGAAACAGTCAGAGACAAGTAAAACGAGCGACGTACATGGGGCGAGTGCTTGTTGCGTACTTCGTTCATCCTACGTGTTATTCACGCTTGCAGGTGTTATGGATGAGTACCAGAGCTAGGCCAATCTCAGTGCGTTCAATGGCTTTCGCCTTTGAGACGTCTTACGCAAAGGCGTTAGGGACGGTGTGACATATTACCCGGCCTGTAGGCGTGCTCGAAGTAGAACATGAAGCCCTCGCCAACGTGTATGGCGCGGAACTCGAGCTCCAAGTGAAGAGCTCCCGCGGACGTGGTCAGCTCGGCGGGGACGTCAGCTCCGCACAGGGTTGCCAACAACGGGGCCTCTCGGGAGTCACCGTCGTGCACGTGCAGCTTGCTCTGGACGCAGTGGTCGTCCAGAGAAAAGTACTGGCTCACCAGCCGTACGACCTGGTAGGAGGGGGAAAAACGTATGCACATAAGTGAATCACTAAAAAAACAGAACTGACAACTGGACTATAGACGATCTTACGGGAGAACATGGGCGCAGCCACCTTGGGCTGTCAAACGAACGTGCTTTTTGAAGACGATAGTCTTTGTTAGGATACTTAAATCTGTCTGTCTGTCTGTCTGTCTGTCTGTCTGTCTGTCTGTCTGTCCGTCTGTCTGTCTGTCTGTCTGTCTTGCGACAAGCGCTAGCCGTCGCAGGCCTCCACACCCACGCTCCGTTTCGTCCCATGTCCTTCCAACGATTCGACACGTACGGCGACGTTCCAGGAAACTGAGAGAGGCACTCGTTCCCCGTGCACCGACGCACAGCCCACGCAGCAGCCAATCGGAGGGTAGTGGTACAGCGCCATCTAGGATATCACCACTCAACTGCAGTTGGTATGTGGATGGATGGATGGATATGCCTGTACCCTTTAGATCGGGCGGTGGCTAGCGCCACCGAGCCGTAATACTTGATGAACCAAAAACTAGATTTATTTATTTTTCTTTAAAAAGTGAGTTTGAGGATTCCTACTTTGCAGTGAAGGGTTTAATTTTCACTCGTGCCTTGACTTTAGCCACCAATCAAATAACCTCCTTCTAGTTAAGTCTACCCGCTTAAAGTCTATTTTCCCCTCCCGGTCCCTAAACCCCAGTGCTTTGAAAAACTCTGCGCCATCATCCTGAACTATAGGGTGAAGCCCCTTTACAGAACATTATCAAGTGTTCGGCAGTTTCTTCTTCCTCTCCACACGCACTGCATACTGTGTCTACCCCTTCGTATTTGGCCCGATATGTCTTGGTTCGCAGTACTTCCGTCCTGGCCTCAAACAGTAGAGAACTACCCCGAGTTTCGATCCCTGCAGTGCCCTGTAGTGTGAACTCACGTTATTTATCTAGTGTCTCACGTTATTTATCTAGTGTGAACTCACGTTATTTATATACAGTGTCTGTGTCTCTGATGATATAGTGGGCTATATTTGCGGATGATTCAAAGTTTAGCGATGAAACCCTCCAGAGCTTCGCCCCACTCATCATCATTCACTTCGTGGATATGCTATAATTTTTTTATTACTAAGCCTTGTCAAGGTTTCGAATTCGTAGGGGTGTTTCGAAATGGGGTTATCCCTTGTCTTTGAAGCGTAGGAGTGCGCAGCGTTCTCCTTCAGGGGGGGGAGGGGGGGTGAAGGTTCGTCGAAGTGCAGTCCTTATTATGTCAATGAGTGGGGCTGACTTTGCACCCCCCCTCCCATTCGAAACGTTTTAGACACGTATATGACACCTCAATGGAGATACCTTGGTCGAGCTGTTGGTGTCGAGGGTCCAGGAACAGCGGTGTAATCCAGCACCCGCGGTTAGCTGCTTGATTTCGGCGTCGGCGTATGACGGACCGAACAGGTAGCCCTGCCTGGTAGCAATGTTCGTGCCTCCATGGCAGGCGTCCCTGGAGTTGAACTTGGGAACTTCCTCTAGCCGCGCTGCGAAAAAGGGTAACAAGTGATGTAAAAACAGCACATCATTCTCTCTAGAAAAAAAAGTAAACAGAAAAAACAAAAAAAAACAAGAAGACATGTCAGCTTTTCACGATCTAATGAACGGTCAGAGTGATTTTTATCCTTCTCGGAGCCTCCTACCCATGTGAAACGTTAATTGCACCTGCAGGTCCTCGTAACTTGACGTATTCTCACGCGGGAAGTTACCCAGATCTGCAGATCAATATTTCATTTTTTTATCAGTACCCAGCGTTCCCCCCCCCCCTCCCCTGAAGGGGATTGCTGTGCACTCGTATGTTTCAAAGAAGGGGGATAACCTTGGGGATAACCCCATTTCGCACCACCCTGCAGTGTTTGAGTGCGAAACCTTATGAAGATTTAGTAATAAAAATCCTAATATTTCCTTTCCGAGTGGAATGGTGTTACGTCTCAGATAAAAGTCACACGAAGTGGCCAAAACGTTTCTGGAATAACTTAGTGGAATAGAAACTACGCAATAATTATGTGCAGGCTGCTAACAACGTGGCCAGTTATCGCCATCACATTTTTGATGGATTCGTAGAGTGGCATCTGGAAGACGTCGCAAACGCAGCTCGAGATATTATAAGTACTTCAAGCGGTCAATGTAGTTTGGTTTCGGAATGAGAGAAGGCACTAGTTGCCTTAGCAATCAGTCACTCCTTCACTGAGTATATTATATCCGATTCAATATAGCAGTGATTTGTAATGGTGTCAGCCTCCAAATCCACTGCCAGGCTGCTAAAGTCCTTCAGTCATCTCGTCCGCCTAATTGCTTGAGGTGACTTGAGTCCCTCCTCGGGGTCGCTGCACAGAAGGGACATGTAGCCGTGCAATGCGACCGCCATCGTCAAACGGGCTGAAAGCGGTCTCCCTTCGTAGTGATCGGCTCTGCAGCTACCACGATGTTCACACTGTTTCTACTAGAATTCCCACCTGCCGTAGTATGAGCCCCTCATAGATAGATCTCTTTTCAGAAATGACCAACTCTTGCGGCGCAGACTTGAAACGGCCGCCATGCCAGTCGTGGTACGCTCGGGGTTAAGGTGCCTGATTGGGGAACGGAAGGTCGCTGGATCGAATCGCAGCTGTGGCGGTCGCAGTTCCATGGAGGAGAAATGCTACAGACCTGTGTGCTTAGATTCAGGTGGTAGAAATTTCCGGAGCTCTCCACTACGGATGAAAATCATACGTAGATTCTGTGACGTGAAACTCCACTAATTAACATATTAATATGGAAACTATACCTCGGGCCCGATACTTTTTTTATATGCCTTATAAGTTAGAACACACAGTGAAACCTATCCTCACTACAGCTTGTGTCCTAGCGGCATAGCCAGCATCCATCCCGTCTTTGCTCAGATTTGGATGCACCTTAAAGAATCCCAGATGGTCGAAATTTCCGGAGTCCTCCACTACGGCGTCTCTCATAATCATATAGTGGTTTTGGGACGTTAAACCCTACATATCAATCAATCAATCCATCCCGTCTTTCTTAATTGCCAAACATGCCCAATCTCCGTGGCAAGTGTCAGAAATATAGGAGCGATGGGAGACTGCTCTGCGTAGCTTTCAACCGGAGTAATGCGGAATGCGCAGCGCAGTAGCAGCGAAAACTGGAAGAGCGGCCTTTCAAAGCCTTTTTAAGCACTATTTGGGCAACGGCTACAAGCGCACACCAGCAACGCCATGTATTATCCTAATCTTTCTTTAGTGGGGAAGCATTGACTGTGGCCATCCCTCTTCATTCCTCAAAGAAGCGTGGTAACCGCTATGCACTTGCAAAGAAGTTTGTGCAGTTTTTCGACGCTGGGGCTGGCGACGATGAAGATTATGCCCGAAACTTTAATTATGGGTTCGAGCCAGGGACGTCCCAACTCTTTCGCGAGGGTGGGGGGCAAACCTACTTCCCCCATCGGCTGGGAATATA